TCTCTTTTGGATTATATATAAAAGGAGGACAAAGAAATAGGGAAGAAGACTATGGGGTATGGTGGTGGACCAAGGGTGTGTCCAGGATCCGACCTAGCTAAGGTCATGGTTGCCTTCTTCCTTCATCATCTTGTCCTCGCCTATAGGTACGTAATTAATTAACCCCCCTTCTCTTAATTAATCTAATTTCTTCAACTTAATTTATATTGCTACTCTAGACACATTCATTTTTGTCACGATTAGGGAATGACTTACCTTTATTCCTTTGGTGGTTTAGTACATCTAATCATTACTTATATGACCCACATCTTGTACCTCTAGCTACTATTTATGCTTATATCACTTAGCAGCATGAATAATTGTGTAGGTATCATGGTGTTCGTTTGTTGTTGTTCTAGCTAGTTCTATTAGATATTTCAAATGCTTTTGTTGTTGTTCTTATTCATGCTATAATATGTTTATTTCTAAACGTATAGGTGGAAAGTGAAAGAAGATGAGTACCCAATTGCTTATCCGTATGTGGAGTTTCGAAACGGACTTCACGTGGAGATTGAGCCGGTAGAATCACATGTTTAGATCGAGGATTAGGCATACAATAGAAAGAGACTATGTACATTAGTTTCGGTATGTGGTATTAATTCGAGTTTTTACCCTAAGTTTAATTCTCTTAGAGAAAAATAATTGTAATTTTCTATAAATTGTTTGATAGATGCATCTTGAAGTATGTAAACCAAAGCTTTTTCCTGTTTTAGCCGTGCTTTTGTACATTTTCTTTATATGGGAGTTTGATTTATTTTTGGGAAAACAATCGACATATTTTTGTTTCTATTTCTAATTTTCTTGAATTTAAAGGTTGATTAAACATAATATGATGCAAATATTACACAAATACAAACGCTCGTGTAACATATATAATTTCTTAGAGGTTAGTGCCACAAATATCATTTATTTATAGATGGCCAGCTCATTAAGTATTGATTTTTGTGATGTACATTCCATCCACAAATGAGAAAAATAGGCTAGGAATATTGTCGTATTGGTCCAAATTATATGATCATCCCAATTACATTGATTTAGTAATTAGTATGGGGCATCATATGGGCTGCAACATAACACAATCTAGCTTTCTTTTCACAGGCCACGATAATAAAAAAATCCACGTCCGTGGGTATTCGTTGAAATTCGATATGCGGTCGAGTTTTTTCAAATCGGTTGAGAGACCAAAAAAGTTGTGACCGAATTTGAATGACCAACGGGAAATAGGAAACACATGCTTATTATAATCGAGTATACGAAGTATCGGTCGGTGAGACTCTAATAAATGTATAATGGCTCCACTATTAATAAGAGCCGCACATGTGATATTTTTACAAGAATATTTTTGTATATGAAATGAAATGCTTGATTTGTCTACAGAATTATGATTTTGATCTCTCTTTCCAAGCAACTACACAAACTTGGATTGAAACCTTTTTTTTATAATAAAATTTGGATTAAAACTTAAAAACAACATTTACTTTACTCAATGATTGTCAAAACTCAGAACTATTTTGACCGTCCAGCCCATATAAAGGAGGAAGAAATAAGAGCATGGCCATGGCCCATCGGCCTTCTGGTGCAAGTCCAGCCCATACAGGAGAACTTGATTGAAACAAATACAAAATACAGATATCAGTCGTAACCTTCCATAACTAATAGGCACTCAAATTGAATATTTTCCCAAACACTTTTCTTCTTTGCCAATCCAGCTTCTTAATCTTAACCCATTAAAGACCAAAGAAGAAAACCTCGAGAGCTCGATCCTTTCTTTTCCCCTTCTCAGGCACGCCTCCGATCGCCCTAACTTCACTTCACACTTCACCGGTTAGTTTGCTTTGTCCTCCTTTTCCATTTGCGTTGTTTTGGTTTTCTTCTGAAAACCTAATTTTCTTTCTCATGTTTGGTTTCAGTTCGTTAGTCGTCAGAATGTCGAGTTCGTCGATTGTGGAGGCGCCGCCGAAGGGTGGGTTCAGTTTCGATCTCTGCAAGAGGAATGAAATGCTCTCCGGGAAGGGCGTCAAGCATCCGAATTACAGGAAGACGGGAACCACCATTGTCGGCTTGATTTTCCAGGTTTGTGGTTCTTGCAACGCTCGTCTCGTGGTATTTGGTTCGGACTCCATTCAATTTTTTAGCTGGAAAGATGGGAGTTTTTTTATGCTTAGGGTTGGTTTGATTTGAGCTGATTTTAATGGGTTGCCCTCCTAGTCACTTGATCTAGTTGTGCTTTATTGAACCTTTGAGCTTCTTTTAGTGTTTGCTATAGCCATGTGAGTGTGAATTTTTGTTGTTGATTCTCATTGCTAGAATGCATCAGGGATATTTGAGGATTGAGCGGTGAACATGCTCAAGAGAGATTCTCTCTTTGTTTGATTTCTCTAATTTAAGCTGGTGTTGCCACCCTTCAATTGGTGTATAGGATGGTGTCATTCTTGGAGCAGATACTAGAGCTACTTCTGGACCCATCGTCTGTGATAAGAATTGTGAGAAGATTCATTTTATGGCGCCTAACATTTACTGCTGTGGAGCAGGAACTGCTGCCGATACTGAGTCGGTGACAGGTATGGTTTCAGTTGTCAAAGTTGTTAATGCCTGATCGCTATATAAATCTTCTTCTCCATTAGCTCTTCAACTACCCCAGTTTAATGTGTGGCTTTGGATTGATTTTTTGTGTAGACATGGTGAGTTCGCAGCTGCAGTTGCATCGTTACCATACTGGCCGAGAGTCGAGGGTTATTACAGCACTTACTCTCCTGAAGAAGCATCTTTTCAAGTAACCTGTCTTCGACATTGAACTCTTTCTGCTTTCTGCAATGACCTTTTTTTAAGGCAAGTGAGTTTCTTATTCTGCCTGCACATTGTTCTTCAGTTACCAAGGTCACATCTCTGCTGCTTTGGTGCTTGGTGGTGTTGATTGCACTGGGCCTCATCTACACACGGTGAGTCTTCTTCTGTTCAGCAGAATGTGCATGGCATTCTTTTTCATATGACTTGTGAGGAGACTTGATGACTTATTAACTTCTGTCCTTTGCAGATATATCCCCATGGATCAACAGACACTTTGCCTTTTGCCACAATGGGTTCTGGTTCTCTTGCTGCAATGGCTGTGTTCGAGTCGAAGTACAAGGAAGGCCTGAATGTAAGTTGTGTTAATGCGAGGTGTATATACCAATTTTTACAAGCAATTAGCAGTTGCATATAATTATTGGTTACCCTACTATAATCTTGATCACTTAAAACTTACTGAGTTACTCATTATATTTTCAGAAGGAGGAAGGAATAAAGCTTGTGACTGAGGCCATATGTTCTGGTATATTCAATGACTTGGGAAGTGGAAGCAATGTTGATGTTTGTGTCATTACAAAGGTGGGCAAATTATTACCTGATATATTTCAGTTTCTAGGACGATCCTTCAGTTTGTACCAATTTAACTTTGTCCTAAATGGTTATGGAACAGGGGGAAAAAGAATACATGAGAAACCACTTAAAACCCAATCCACGCACATACGTCAGTGCGAGGGCATACACCTTCCCCAAGAAGATAGGTTGGTATCATTATCCCTACTTAAACAAATAAGCATATAGCACTATCTGGAGCCATGTGCTTCAAATTCTTGTTTCCGCTCTTCATTGAAACAGATTAGAGTTTGGAACAGTTTCTCCTATCGTCTCACAGTCTGCATGCTAGTTTCATTTTGTATTATTCTCAAATTGGGTGTGACATGTGAAACTTAAACCTTGATTTGGTGACCTGGATGTTGTGATATAAGCAGCTGTTCATAGCCCTTTTTTTTCAAGTACCATGGCATGGTTAGTATGTGCAAGCTATAAGTACTGGTACTTGGTGTAACTATGCGTCTATGACAATCCCATCAGGATTTTGAGTTTTTCCGAAAATCATGTTCAACTACTATTCATGCTGAAATGGAAGGAACCCTTCTCTGCCTGGCTGGTTGAATGCGATCTGAGTTATTTTTACTGATTTCAAATCACTTATAATTTATATACTGCTATTGATATGTGTTGCAGAGGTCCTCTCAACGAAGATTACCCCACTGAAGGAGTTAGCTCAAGTGGTTGAGGCTGGTGATGCTATGGAAGAGTGAAGGACAGAATGACAGAGCTTTGTTTGGAGATCACTGTACTTTTACCGATTAGTTTCGAGAACTTGAGGACCCAATGTGATGTCGTTTTCGCTGAATTGCAAATGCTCGGGGATCTTTTGGAGACTGTTTTATGTGATTAGTATGTAGCATCTTTATTTTCAGTTCTCTTTGTTCTCCGACTCTCTTGAATTTAGTTGGAGAATGATGAAATGGACTCGAGAAACCAAGGTGGAGGAGGTTCTATTATATCTTTGGATCAAATTCTTGGATGTTCATTTCCAAGTGCATCCATAGCATGCAAATTGGAGCTACATTTTCAAACTGATTAGCATCGAGAAATTGTCTAGTTAGTCTTGTGCAATGGCAAGCCGATATCAAGAAGTGAGTATCCTCAAGCATTTGGTTTTCGATATTGATCCATTATGCTCTCTAAAAGTAAAAGCTGATCGATCAACGAAGCAAAAAGCAAACTAAATTTAACTTCGATCAAATTTGTTATTGTCATTTGGAGAAGCTAGTATCAATCTCACTTCTTTCATCTTCATGCAATACTCAATAGTGAAGTCTGGTTCTCCAAATTAGTATCAGCTACATTACGCTAGTTGTTCCTGATGATGCTGCTTGAGATAAACTTGACTACTTGAGTGATAAGTTTGTTAAGAATCGAAGTTTAGTCACCAATAGCAACCCCAAAAAACTTTCGATGACCATTTATGTAATTAATCATTCAACTCGTTAACCGGGGAAGAGAAACTGTCTGGAATACTAATTCTAACGTGGCAAGCACTCATTGGCCATCACACCTACTTGCCCCTATCTCATTGGCCAGGCTTGGCATCTACACGTATAACCCAAAAAGCAAGTCGTTTTGGTTCCCGGTTCGACTCACTGACTTGACTCACCACCACCATCAGCAAGCAAGCAGACTCCCCGAGTTTCAGGAGACAAAGTTTCCCTCCTCCATTGTTTCCCAGTTCCCACCGCACCAAAGCTTCAACCAGTATCAGTAGAAGGAGAAGGAAGGAAGGAAGGAAGATCTCCAAGCCGGAACCTCAGGACTTTCGCCGCCGACGGTGGTCGGAGAGATCCAGCCTCTCTCCCTCGTTTCTCCACGTAATGGCGCACCGAGCGGTGAAGCTCTTCTTCTTGCTATGCGCACTGTCCTACGCTCTCGTCACCATTGCCGGGTACGGTTCTTTTAGTAGCCTCTCCCCAAAAATTTTCGTCTGAAATCAGCTGTGGGGAAATCAAATTTGATGATTTTGGATTTTGAGATGTCGCAGGAAGAGCTACTACGATGTGTTGCAAGTGCCCAAAGGTGCGTCGGACGATCAGATCAAGCGAGCTTACAGGAAGCTGGCGTTGAAGTATCATCCCGATAAGAACCAGGGGAATGAGGAAGCTAATAAGAAATTCGCAGAGATTAGCAACGGTATAGATTGGATTTGGTGGACATTGTACTCTCTGTATCCATCTGCTCTTTTTTCAGATTGAAATTGGTTTGTTTGAATCTTGAGCGATTTTGTATTCCCCTTGGTTTAGCTTACGAGACGTTGTCCGACGGCGAGAAGCGGAAGATTTACGATGCTTATGGGGAGGAAGGGCTTAGGCAGCATATGGCGAATGGAGGCGGCGGTGGAGGAATGAACATGCAGAACATTTTCGAGCAGTACGTTTTTTTCTATTCTTCTCGTATTCTCTGCTTGTTTTAGATATCTGGAGTCCTGACATGGTATTCTTTGCTCTAGATTCTTTGGCGGAGGAGGTCAATCGGAAGAGGAGGAAGAGAGAATCCAAAAGGGTGACGATGTCATTGTTGATTTGGACGCCACATTGGAAGATTTGTACATGGGTGGTTCAATGCAGGTAAGATTAGGCATTCTAATCTATGCTTCTAACCAGCAATGCGAAATGCTAATGAGTTCTATCATTGTAAAGGTGCTAGCTTTTTCTAGGCCATGTTTTACTAGTCTCTGTTGTTGTACTTAGAAAGGGAACTTCCTTCCTACAGATTAGGGGTGGGCATTGGGTGGGTCGGGTGGATTTTGACCATAAAATGCACCCACCCGCGTTTAAACGGATTGATAATTTATAACCCACCACCCACCCACATTTAGTCTCGGGTTGGGTCGGGCGGATGGTGGATGATTTGGGTGGGTTTGTGGGTTCACCCACATCACAATGTATATAATATAAAGGAGTCAACTTGACATGATAATAGGCGAAGAGAGTTATATGGGGAAACAAGAAGATGAAATAGGGCGAAAAATGTTGAATTAGTTCTTAAAATGGATAGAAATTCTATGATGAAAGAGTTTTCTACAAATTGAGATGATTATCAGGTGCAAGGAACTAAGAAAAATAATTCCACAAAGGAAAGAGCAGTGATTTAGGCACAAGAATTAGAGGAAAAAATAAAGGGAAGAAGAGGGGATCGCTATTTGGAAGGTTGGCTTTGAGGTTTAAACTCCAGGAGCAGTCCTAGTTTATGTCTAACGTCTCCACTCTCCCCTCTCTAGCGCCGACGACTTTGATCTTTTTGCTGTTGGGTTGAGTGGGTCACCCGCGCACCCACCCACAACCCACCCACCACCCGGCGGATGGCTCCCAGCGCAACCCGTCACCCACCCATAGACCCACCCACTTAACGAAATTCGGGTCAAATGCGGGTGGGTCGGCCCAAACCCGCGGATGATCCGCCTGCATGCCCAGCCCTACTACAGATGTGTTGAGTGAATCAGTTAGCCGCGGCTAGCAAGCAATGGACTGTATTTCTTCATCGGGTGTAGGGTCGTTGATTTGCATTAGAAATTTCTTCATCTTGTGTAACCATGAAGCAGAAGAAGAATTTGTATGGCTTATGTATCATGCATTTCTGTATATCTTGCTATTTAAGAAGATGATTGGGTTAGTGTGGTGATTATGTTCTCACCATATTTACTGTGTTTTCGGTAGGTGTGGAGAGAAAAGAATGTTATCAAGCCAGCCCCAGGGAAAAGACGATGTAACTGCAGAAATGAGGTCTATCATAGACAAATTGGTCCAGGGATGTTCCAGCAAATGACAGAGCAGGTATATGATGGCTGGAGACTCTGTTGGATTACTTGTTACATTTTCTTACAAGTGATCTAAGCCGCACGCTGCTAATGGAGTTCTGGCAATTGGATGCTTTTTCTTCCTGTAGAATGCTTCAAGTTTCATATGCATCTCTTATTAATTTCTTGCAGGTCTGTGATCAATGCCAAAATATCAAATTTGAGCGGGAAGGGTATTCTCTCACAGTTGATATTGAAAAAGGAATGCAAGATGGACAAGTAAGTTTCAGGATGTAAATAATTTTCCTTACTGGATGTATGGCTGGAGAAGAGTATTTGACCTGCTTTCTTACTTTCAGCAGTTTCCACTACCAATCACCTATTTAGGGAAGTAGTCTAGTATAACTTTTGAGGTTTTCCCTCTTCGGATTCGTAGAAGTCCCCTGTGTCATCCTTTTCTTTCTCTCTTAATAAATCCAGTTTAGGAGACTGTTGAACTTTTTGGACTATTTCTTGTCCAGAATGAACTTTCATGCACTATCATTTCCTGGTGCACATAGGGCTTGAAGTTGGATACTTTCTGTAAAACCATCTTGATTCTGTTCCTAGAATGGAGCTGTTTCATATAGTGGGACTCTTGCTAGTTAGGGCTGGAAGATCATAACTTCAATCATGATCCTACTTATATTCTATTTGTATTGGAATTGTGCTACACTTCTTGTGTGTACATACTAGTACATCAGTGGATTTGTAGCATTGGTCCAATTGATTTGGATGTAATGTGTGGATGGATGACTGTTGCAGGAGGTTGTTTTCTATGAAGATGGTGAGCCCAAGATAGATGGGGAACCAGGAGATTTGAAGGTTTGTTTTCTCAACTGTGGTCTTCTTCTCTTTATGCAGCAGCAAAAATTCACCACTGTCCTATCATATTTTATACAGTTCCGCATTCACACATCACCTCATGACGTTTTCACAAGGAAAGGCAACGACTTGCACACCACAGTCACCATCACACTGGTAATTCTGCGACTAACTCAAGAGACGCCCTCTTTTCCTTCCTTTCCCCTCTAAGATCTTTCTATTTAACTGGGGAAAGAACGCCTGAAATGTATCCCACCAGGTTCAAGCCCTCGTTGGCTTCGAGAAGAAGATCAAGCTCCTCGATGAGCATCTGGTCGACATAGGCTCACAGGTAACCCACATAATCAACTCCCCCTCTTTTCATTTGAACCCCAAATCCTGGAGTCTGCTAGCATGGAACATTAACTCATTCCCAATATGCTCTCAGGGAATCACTAAGCCAAAAGAAGTAAAGAAGATCAAGGGCGAGGGGATGCCTCTGTACGCAAGCAACAAGAAAGGCGACCTCTATGTGACGTTCGAGGTTCTCTTCCCTAATTCATTGACGCAGGAGCAGAAGACGAAGATCAAGGAAGTTCTCGGCTAAAAGTATCGTTAGGAATTTTATGCCAGTCATTCCGAGGTTCCAACTATAGTTTTTAACTGTAACATGTCAGATAGAAGAACCTTGAGAGGAGGGAAAGCAAGTTTTGTTTCCTTGATTTGCCCCCTCTGTTCCCTGCCTTCCCCCAATTTTTTCCCCAGTAGTATACCAGAAAGAAAATTGAAATAGCTGTTTTTCCACTCTTGTGTGCCAATTCGTATGTACACTTTTAAGAAACCATTAATCGATAAGCACACCAAGCTGCTGCTGAGGTTATTGAGGTGTACTTTCAAATTTGACTGTGTGGAAGATTTATTTTATCAATGCAGTCATAAGTGTATTAGATCATAATCATATCTAATTGGAGGAAGATCATAGTTGTTAATGTTAAGGCAGGAAAAAGGCAAAAATGAGACGCCCACCGTGGGGTTCGAACCCACGACCACAAGGTTAAGAGCCTTGCGCTCTACCAACTGAGCTAGACGGGCTTTTGTTGTTGAGAAAGCTTTATACTAAAACACTCCTATTTTACATATCACTTCACCATTTTACCACAAAAACAAGTGCTGTTTGATTTTAGTGATGGCATAAGTTCGTTCATAAAGATGCTTAACACTTGTGAGCCAATGAGGGTTTCCTATCCAAGGAGTATCAAACCCTTTAAACTTCACACTTATGTTTCTCTTAAAATTTTGTATTACTAAATATTATCTTCACATATTTTATATTAAGAACTAACTTGATTTTCGAAAGTATAAACCAAAAGTCATTCTCATATTTTTATAGATTCTCTCCACTCATAATGGTTGAAAGAAGGTAACATAGGTCAAGATTCACATCTTATTTTTTAGCCAAACAATTATTCATAATGGTTGAAAGAAGGTAACATAGGTCAAGATTCACATCTTATTTTTTAGCCAAACAATTATTTGGTACAAGTAAACACCAAAACTCGAATAGCCTACTTTCACGATAAAAAATTATGAGGAGATTAGTCTTCGTCAACTGTGGCTTCCTTTGAAGTAATCAAGTTGCATTCAAATGAGATATTTTGTTCATAGTTGTCTACTTTAAATCGACAAAAACTTAAAAAGACCACATCAAAGAATCGAGACACAATACTCCAATTACCCAATGAATAATTGTACGTTATAGTAAACCAAGTAAGAGTTTCACCACTATATTGCGTTTTCATCACTCTTCTTCTACATCCGACCAACTCCAACTAAACATTGTAACCTATTGCCAGGTTGAGAACTCCCCAGTCCCAAGTTTCAGAATAACTGCCCTTTTCACTCACACTACATTTATCAACCATCTTCAAGAAAGCCCTCGAAATTCGGATATAGATGCATTCCCTCTTCCTCGTCAAAATTGCAGTGCGTAAGGAAACCTGAAAAGAGATAACTTAACCCACAAGGCACTTCGGAAACAGCGTTCAGGCGTTTCCCAGAAAGCTGCAGACCTCATGACAGCAACTGAAGGGGGGTACCAAAGATGTCACCCAGAAGAACCCCAAAACACCTGAAGAAAACAGAAAGCGGCTATCAATGAGCCTTAGGTAGCAAAATAAATATTACATGGGAATTGGGTGGAAGAAAAATGACTTACTCCGGCCAGGACATCCATAGAGATTTTAGATTTCTTCTCCTCTGCTTTCTCAGTCACTGGCTTTTTCTGTGGCATTCGGCGGATTACCCTTGGTGGTTCTTGTGCCTTTTGCTTCTGCAGAACCAATGGGAAGAAAAAGGTAACGTGAGATGGCGATGTATTGATCAAAGATGGTTTCTTTTTTGGTAATTGTTTTGATCTTCATATTGCTCCACCTGACCAAACTAGGACAAGGTCTCGAAAAACATAATACTGAAATCAGCAGCTACCAAACAGCACCTACACTAACTCCCTACAGACGCCAGAGCCTACTACTATAGAGATCACTGTCACTGCAACCAACTACCGACAGTAGCTTACAAAAAGTAAGTTCATACTTAATCTACATTATAGGTTAAGCCAAAACTAGATCTATCCACGATGGTTAGTAAAGATTGCACATTTTTTACCTTCTTCAGCCGTTCTTCTATGTTAGTAAGAGCGATTGATTTCTCAACTTTGGAGAGATAGAAATCTCGTTCCCTCTTTGCAGCAGAAAGTTCTAAAGCTAGCTTCTGTTCTCTGACGGCTCTCTTTATAGCTGCATTTCCAAACGGGATGTGAGCCAAAGACAAGTAAAAGAACTCAGTTTGCAAAAGGAAGAGGAAATGAGTTTCATACCAATCTCCTCTGTCAGATCATCCCACTTGAATTTACTCAAGTACTTGATGTTCCACGTATCGAAATAGAACTGTGATCTCTTCTTCCCACCTGAAGAGGACAACAAAGGGAGTAAAAATGTGACACACTAAATCTTCACATGTAAAATGAAAGATGTAACTATCGATACCATTACCAACATACTGCTCTAACATCACAATATAGAGATAATGAAGAAAGCAGATGTATATATTGAATCCCTTACCCATTTGTTCGCCGTTTAACATGTTTGCAACTCTTTTTGCCACAACTTTATCAGTAAATTCCACCCACCTGCAACGTAAAAAAAACATAAGAATTTACATCTAAATCACAATCAACATTCCAAATTCAAGAAAATGTGCAAAATAAGAAAAGCAATCTAGTTGGCAATCAACAACCCCATCAAGGGAGTTATTCAAACTAGAAGGCTTAAGATCAAACATACCCTTCTGCGAATGATTGCATCCTATGCTTAGCAGCTTTCTTCTGAAAATGTAGAGGATTTGAGTCTGAAAGCAGATAGGGAAAAGGAAGGATTCAATCCAAATATTCACCAGAGGTCGAATGCCATTACAGAAACCACAGAACGTAATCAACACAAGCAAAAAAATGAACAGAAAGATCAAAGTGCAGAAAATTCAATCACCTTCTGGTACAAGATAGATCCTCTGGATTTCACCATACTGTGACAGAGCATGACGGAGCTTTGCAGGATCCATGTGGGGAGGAATTCGGCTCAAATAACAAACGCCACGCCTATCAGCCTTTGCTGTTTCCTCTAACAAACGCTGCTTCTTCTTCTCTCTCTTCATTCTCTCCTTTTTATCACCCATTAATGACTGCTTTCGTTCATTGTTCAGAGATTCCGTAGTATCATCAACGGAATCTGGACCAATACCTCCATCGACATCATCCTCTTCCTTCTCATCCCGTTCAGTTTCTTCTAATAACTGCTGCTTCTTTCTCTTACTCCCCTTCTTCGCCTCTTCCTCACCAGTCTCATCACCACCAACTTCGTTATTCTTCATCATTTTCTTCTTCTGCTTCTTCTTCCCACTTTTCAGACTTGTTCGGCTCCCTTCAACATCATAGTCATCTTCGGTGTTGTCACCATTGACATGTTTCTCTACTTCAATCATTCCAACCTCTTGCATCCGCTTCTTCTTGTTGCTTTTCAATCTGTTCGACTTCCCCTCACCCGGACTCATATCTGCACCACCCTTCAAACTCATTCCATTAGCTTGGAGCTCTTCTACCTCCATTCTGGCCAAGAAGAAACTGAGAGTGGGCAATCAACAGTCCCGCCAAGTCAGTATCCAACACAACGATGTCAAAAGCTAAATCATACCGATGACAGGGAATATCACTAAGCACGCCAAGATACAAATCTTTCACTGAATATAAACGCAGCAGTACTTTGGATGAGTAACAATCTTCGGATTCTACGAACTAAGAGCAAGTTTCAGAGTCATAATTAGTTCTACCACAAGGTTACAACCATTACAAATAATTCAACACAGCACAGAGATAAACCATTCAGCCACAAAGCAAAGACTTTGCATCTTTAAGAGTCTAAGGGAAACGAAATACAGAAGGAAGGGAAGGAAAGCACTGTAGTTTGGATTCCAATTCAAACCCCGGTTCAGAGAATGTCAGAGGCAAATAAATTGAGCTGGCTATCACAGAAAAAATAATAATCTACCTTGTTTCTCTTTCAGGGAGTCACTTCAATCGTCAGCCGGGAAAAACTCGTTCGGCAACCGCCCCCTACGATTTTGCTGAAAGGCGGCGGCGCGTATAAGCACAGACAGCAGCTAAAACCTGGTCGTCCGCCGCCGTCGAGATGAGGAGTCTAATGTTCAACAAATAGCAGACAGGGGAGGAGGGAAAGCGATCAAAGGAAGAGTTGCAACGGCGGCCGAGAAAGGCGAGCAACTCCGACTGAAACTTTCGGGGGGGCGAAGACGTTTTCGCTCTCGCGCTGGTTATGGCGGAAGCTGAAGGCTTTCCCTTCGAGTGACTCCAGAGTCCAGACCTTGCGAGAAACTGGCCGCGCTTTTGGTGCGCTCTTCTTTTGTTAGTTAATGACTTCTTGGGTCATTTTTCTCGATGGTTTACCAAATTACATCCTTGTATTATGAAATTTTAACAAACAAGTTCTCATATTGCTACTACTTTTATTCATTCGTTACTAACGAGGTTCGTCACATTTGATAAACACATCATCCCAAATCACAAGTTGCACAAGCCAAGAAATTCATCATTGAGAGAGAATACAAAAGGATCGTACTTGAATTATCCACTCTTCTCCGAATAAACTCAAACGATAAACTAATGCCCTTCTTCAAGCAATCAAAAAGATTCACTCCATTCAGAGTCACCATTGTCAAATGCTTCGTAAGAAACGAGAGATAAAATTCAAGAGTCGAGTTGATGCACAAAGCATAAAATTTTGATTCCTAACTGGTATGGAAGAGCATCAATCAACCTTATCATGGAACTCCTACATAAGTTATGTCATGTGGTGTTTCCTCCTTCCAAAAAGGGCTACAAGGAAAAACAGTCCGGTATCTCTGTGAAATTTTCTTTTTAAGCGGGGAGCCAATAACTAAGACTTTTTATCCACTTGCGTCATGTAAAGAGGGCCTATGCTTGGTTGGCTTCCGTTACTGAAGAGGATTTCTGCTCCATTTCTGGCTCGGCAGTTCTCGGATGCCTATTCGTCGTAACCGCTGGTCTTGGCCCGAATTTGACAAGCAGATTGTCATAAGTACGAGAAACGAGCAGCAGCCTAGCATCATCTTCAGGTATATCCCGTTTCTGAAAGGGGGGAAAGAACAGTAAGAAGATGAAGCAGCACAGAGGAAAGTAGTTATGCAATGGAAAGATTGATTTGGCAATGCATCATAATACACGAGAGAGAATAGCAAGAGAGAAGACCAACCTTCAAGCCTTTGTAGTATGCTTCCACGGCAGGGAAGGTGGGTATCATGTTACGAGCTTGCATCAAGTCCCATATGTAATTGGCAGTCGTGTACCCACCGGTCTGCAAAAGGAATTCATTTGAAGGTAAGAA